AATATATTAAATAACATTAACGTCCACTTCCATTTATATTGCCTATTCTCACATTTCTAAAATTCTTAACTCACTGTTATCGGTGTCGTGGGAGATGTTATGCCTTAACTCAAGGTCGACACTCCTCGCACTGCATTTATCTCTTCTCTGCATCTTCTGAAATTAGAGCACTCTAGACTTGTTCGTGTTGATGTTGTGAGAGGTGTTCCGCCTTAGGACCAAGGCCGGCACCCTTCACATTGCTCAGAAAAGTCACTTTAAGTTCTCGTCTTTATACGTATATACTTATATATTTATATTTATTTATTTAATATTTGTCTTCTTCGGCTTCTTCCTTTTTACTTTATCTTATTTGTTTAATCTATCAACAGCAACAATATAAACCTTACATAATCATCATATTTCATCCTTACCATCACGTCACGAAACATCAGCAATTTACTTCAACAGTATTATTCAACATCAACATCCTCTATCCTGCTTCTTGACATATTTCACAATATAATTTCTGACGATGTGTTCCAGATAAGAATACGAAAGCGCGAATCTCCCCTCTTTTTTATTTCTGTTTGAAATAAATATTTAATAAAATGTTATTTACAGCAGTTATCTCTTTCTTTTCTTATTCAAATAAGTACGCACAATGGTAAAGCAATTATTAACAGCAACCCTATTATATTTTCGAGATTGAGTTGAGTAGAGCATTGCATGAAAAATCTAACTATGTTTGTGCAAGTGGTGTTTTTTTCTAAATTTTCCAACATAGTCCACAGCTTGTTCGCTTCTCACAAAGAACGCATTTATATGAAGAATATCTGAGTAGTATCATCGATTTGCAAAAACAACAATGTATATAGCTCTTATTGTGACTCTTCTCATTGATATTAGTGTTGCCAGTAAGTTACCATCGATCAACACTCGATTACAAGCACTTCAACCGATCGCGTCAACTTCTGACCGAACTACGGATGGTGTGGATCTCTGCTCACCATGTATCAACGGAATAGTAATGATCTGTGGCTTAGTCTATGAATACGTTCATGAAGGTATTCTACCAACTTGCGATGGTTTGTGTGATTTTGTCAGCAATAAAACAGGTTCCAAGGTACTCGGTGATATGTGTGATGTGGTGTGCCATGAGTATGGCATCAACTACATCATCTTAGTCGCGACGTACCTTTATCAAGATCCAATTGGTGCTTGCGAATATGCAGTACTTTGTCCGAGTATGGAATAATAGATTTGTTATTCTCTCACCGTAGTGTTTTGTCAACTTTTTGACGTAGTTAAAGACGATGGCGATGCTAAATTTACCAACTTTGGTGTTTCACCAACAACTGGCAATCGTACCTCTAAATTCGTTCTTGACTGTTCTTTTTCAACAAAGAATGGTACAGGTACGGGTAGTTATCTCATCACAATTACTAAACCAACGGCGCAAGTAACGTCAGCTAGATACTGGATCGAAGAAAAACGACCTGGTTCATACACTGAACTGATTTCTCTTGATGATATACAAAAGAATTGTAATCCTAAACTAGGTGAGAATCATTAGTGTAACACACAATAGGTTAGTTCGTTTTATTTCATATTGAGTAGGCTCGTGTGACGACTGGCCTGTTGGTACTTACACTGTCACAGCTGAATTCTGTAATGGAGTATGTGGATCCCAACATCCTCATACAAGTGTCTATGACAGTGGCACGAGCTCATTTAAAGTCACGCAATGAACGAATGTCAACTTGATTGTTCTTCTTCAATATCTTTGTAATTCTACTTGATATTGTTGCGTAACTGAAATATATAAAATAATTCAATAAACTTCACATGATGTTCGGAAGCAACAAAATATTTTATTACGATTAATACAACGTGTAGCTTTTTTCGGCACATGTCACGAAACAATAGAACAAGAACAACCAGTGTCTCTCAGAAACAGAAACTTTTTTATGAAGTTTCAACGTAGGTTTCCGAGCAGTCATTCTATTCCATGATGTTGCACATCGCGGGATCAATTCCGCCTCTGGAATCAGTTCCATCCGATTTCGAACTTCCCAATTGTCGAACTAACTCGAGTTACTCGAGAACGAACGATGGAGTTTTCTCAATTTCCAGAATTACCGGAATTTCGTGAAATTCCTGAATTGCATTCAATTCTGGAACTCCACCCGATTCCAGAATTGGACGCGATTTCGGAATTGCGTGCGATGTCGGAATTACATCCGATTCTTGGATTCCGACTCATCCTCACCCTCAGCAGGGTGTGAGTGTGGGTGCGGGTGTAGGTGTACTACATGTGAGGACAATACGCCCACACACATCTCTTGGTAAATTTTAACGATCCTTCATCACAGCCGAATAAAAATGTTTACCCGCCCGAACCCGTGTACTTTCATACCCGCTCCGACCGAGACCCATCTTATTTAAGAGAACTATTGCCCGCCTCGCCAGCCCGTGTGCCGGACAACATCCGCGCCCCGTTAATGCCGCATTTCATTAAATTTTTCTTCCCCGCCCGCCAGTTGCCACGTGGCCCCGCAGGATCAACCCCGTCTACCGCACATCTCTGGATGGAATCTCATTCTATAATATATCATGTAGCTGGCTTCTCATACCATCTATACCACTATTTGAATCATATCCATACAAGGGGGAAAGTGCAGGCACCCAGCACCTCAGCACCTGTTCGGCGCCTATCAGCACCTATCAGCACCTACAGTACCTACCAGCACCTACAGCACCTGTTCGGCACCTATACTACATTTCACTATGAGCACCTACAGCACCTACAGCACCTACGGCACCTGCAACCACTCTTCCATTATCTTCAGTACTTTTTCAGCACCTAGTAATAAAATTTAGTGTTTAGGCTCTGCCCTTTAAATTTTATTACTAGGTGCTGAAAAAGTACTTAAGATAATGGAAGAGTCGTTGCAGGTGCCGTAGGTGCTGTAGGTGCTCATAGTGAAATGCGGTATAGATGCCGAACAGGTGCTGTAGGTGCTGGTAGTGCTGTAGGTACTGATAGGTGCTGATAGGTACCGAACAGGTGCTCAGGTGCTGAGGTGCTGGGTGCCTGCACTTTCCCCCTTGTATCCATACCTCATAATATTAAAAAAATATCCTGTAAAAGAAATGTGAAAAAATAGTGAAAAACCAATTCCACTTAAACTAATTTCACTTAAACTTTTATCCGGGACTGTATACAGATATAGAGATACGCGAGATAGAGAAGATAACGGAATCGCCAACTAAGAACATTGGGAAAAAAACTTTTGTGAAAAAAATTCTTCGAGCAAAATTTCCCTACATTCGAACCTTGCAAAAAGGATGATTTTTAAGTGTAGCCGAATTTCTGGATACTTTAATAGTGTACTTTTCCAACCATTGCAGACGTATCTAGGGGTGGCACTTTAACTTTACTTTAAAAGTTAAAGTTAAAGTGGGGTGTGGGTGTGGGTGTGTATGAAGATAAGACACCTACACCCACACCCACATCCACATCCACACCCACACCCCACACCCACACCCATACACCCACACCCACACCTCACACCCACACCCACACCCACACATCCACACCCACACCCACACCCCACACCCACACCCACACCTCACACCCACACCCACACCCACACCCATA